TAACTTGGTTATAGAAATTGCGAATACACCTCAACCATCAAAATATAACACTAAGCGGTTAGGTATCATTTATCCCACTAGTGCATCAAGAGATGTATGGGTGTTTTTCAAAACGGCTTGTATAGATTTGAGGTTTATAAGGGGTCTTTGATTTTTTATAATTCTATTTTTAAAAACATATTATACCATGGTTATTGAATGCATCCAATAAGCCATGATATACTTTAAAAAATCTTAACAATCTTCATTTATAAAATCAACGCTATCAAATTTTAAAATTAATAGCTAGTATTAAATTTTACCGATTGAGCACTTTAGAACATTTGTAAACCTTTTTAATAAAACTTTATTTTATAAAATAAGGTTTGTAGTTTGATAAGTTTATAAATATCTATTTTAAACTTATATAATTTTAATCTCAATATTTTTACCGGTTACTAGTTTTAATAAATGAGATATGTTTATTTTAAAACTATTTTTACCATCTTATGTTAAAAGATAAATTTCATAAAACCAAAATCCTTTGTGATATTCATTTATGTTCAAATATTATTTATCATTTGTACAAAAATTATCAACCATAACATGATAATAACAACATAAATATAAAACAACACAAACATGCAAAAATATATGTGCATAAACCAACCATTTAATGATATTTAGTGAACCATCACAACACGCAAAGTCCATTCCTAAAGAGACATTAAAAGGACCAAAAAAAACAACTTCTAGTAATGTTGTTTTTGAAGCTTCCACGTGAGAAAATATTCATTGCTTGCAAAAATTTGAAAACTTCTTGAAATAGCTTAAAATCAGCAACATGCAACACTTTAGGAAAATGTTGCCTTAGGAGCAGCACTATAAGGAATCTAATGAAGCACTAAGCCAACAACAACACTTTTCAAAAAAAGGTTGTATTTGTATCTAAACTTTAAAAGTTGCAAAAATTGCTAATTTGATCTTCAAAAATGGTTTCATCTCCATTTCTTGTTACATTTTTGTACAAAATAAATTATATCTAAAACTAATCTCTTACTTACAAAAATAAACATAGCAAACTAATTATTTAATTATTACATATCATATGAATGAATAAATAATTACAATCATTTTAAACAAATCAACAAAAACTACAACACAAGGGTCCAAGGCTAGTTTATACACATCATATATATATATATATATATATATATATATATATATATATATATATATATATATATATATATATATATATATATATAGACAAAATTACAAAAATGGTCCCTATGGTTTGTCAAAAGTCACAAAGTCACTCCCTGCTATTTTTTTTGATGAACATGGTCCCTGTGGTTTCCAAAACTTGCATCAATAGCAATTTTTGCTGACGCTGTTACTGTTCATCCGTTAGTGCAAGGGTATTTTGGTCTTTTCAAGTACGAGGGACTGAGTTTGTGACTATGGGTAAACCATAGGGACCATTTATGTATTTTTTTCTATATTTTATGTTTATGAGTTTGTGACTTTTCCACCCATTTACTTTTTAAAATATCACTTTGAACGCTTCACTTTGAACTTTGAAAAATGTTACTTTCACCCCTCTATTTTCTAAATTTTCGTGTTTAACCCCGTATTATATATAATTTGTTTTTTATTAATAGCTTTTGTTCGCTAACCTAAAAAAACTATTTTTACGTGTTTATTTTCATATATTTGTCGGTATAATTCAAGGTGATCAACGTTTCGATTATAATTTAGAACTTTCTTTCGTTATTTATTTTAAAGTTACATGGTTTTTTTTATAAAATTGTCGTTTCAAATTCGAGCTTATTTTCGACGTAGTTTTTTTTTTTTTTTTTTTTTTTAACTTTATGTACGTTTCCTACGTATGAGACGGGTCATATATAATAACTTTCGTTTGTTAATTTCAAAAAGTATATTATATTCGAGATTGTCTATGTTTTGATGTATTTTTTATACATTTTGTGCTTAATTTTATATACATTCCTACGTATCATTCGGGTTATATATAATAACTTTCGTTTGTTAGCTTAAAAAAATGTAGTATATTCGAGTTTGTCTATGTTTCGACCTAACTTTTGTTTCATGTTTTTTACGTATCAATATAGATTCGAGTTCGTCTATATTTCAACGTAATTTTTTTTATGTTTCGTGCTTATTTTTATGTACGTGTTTTTTTCATTCATGTTTTTTTTACGTCGAAATGCAACTTTTATGACTATAATCACCAAAATTCAACTTACAAAATTCAAGCTTATCATTACGCTTTTATCTATTATATGTGAACAAACTTATACGTAGGAACATACATAAAATAAGCACCAAAACGTACAAAAAAAATTAAATCAAAACATAAAAAATAAAGAAAAAGAAAAACTCAAATTTATATCAGTACGTGCATAAAAATAAGTAAGATTTTTTTTTAAGTTAACGAACGAAAGTTTAAATAATAAAAAATATATAATATGTGACCCTAATCATAAGTAGGAAACGTACAGAAAGTAAAGCACGAAAAAGTTAAAAAAATATGTTTCGCAAAACGTTTTGGTGCTTATTTTATGTATGTTTCTACGTATAAGTTTGTTTACATATAATAGATAAAAGCGTAATTATAAGCTTGAATTTTGTAAGTTGAATTTTGGTGATTATAGTCATAAAAGTTGCATTTCGACATAAAAAAACATGAATGAAAAAAAGACGTACATAAAAATAAGCACGAAACATAAAAAAATTACGTCGAAATATAGACGAACTCGAATCTATATTGATACGTAAAAACATGAAACAAAATTTAGGTCGAAACATAGACAAACTCGAATATACTACATTTTTTTAAGCTAACAAACAAAAGTTATTATATATGACCAAAATGATACCTAGGAATGTATATAAAATTAAGCACAAAATGTATAAAAAATACATCAAAACATAGACAATCTCGAATATAATATATTTTTTAAAATTAACAAACGAAAGTTATTATATATGATCCGTCTCATACGTAGGAAACGTACATAAAGTTAAAAAAAAAAAAAAAAAAAAAAAAAAAAAAAAAACGTCGAAAAATAAGCTCGAATTTAAACCGACAATTTTATAAAAAAAACCATGTAACTTTAAAAAAAAAATAACGACAGAAAGTTCTAAATTATAATCAAAACGTTGATCACCTTGAATTATACCGACAAATATATGAAAATAAACACGTAAAAATAGTTTTTTTAGGTTAGCGAAAAAAAGTTATTAATAAAAAACAAATTATATATAATACGAGGTTAAACACGAAAATTAGAAAATAAATGGGTGAAAGTAACATTTTTCAAAGTTCAAAGTGAAGGGTTCAAAGTGATATTTTAAAAAGTAAATGGGTGGAAAAGTCACAAACTCATAAACATAAAATATAGAAGAAAAATACATAAATGGTCCCTATGGTTTACCCATAATCACAAACCCAGTCCTTGCTACTTGAAAGGACCAAAATACCCTTACACTAACGGATGAACAGTAACGACGTCAGCAAAAAGGGCCATTGATGCAAGTTTTGGAAACCACAGGGACCATGTTTGTCAAAAAAAATAGTAGGGACTGACTTTGTGACTTTTGGCAAACCATAGGGACCATTTTTGTAATTTTGTCATATATATATATATATATATATATATATATATATATATATATATATATATATATATATATATATATATATATACACACATGCAAAATGTTATATAAAACAACTCTTTGGTTTTCTAAAACAACTTTTGTGACAACAAATACATATAAACTTTTGTCACCAAAAAATAAACAATTATAAAGTTGTTCAGAAAATATGCAAGGATTTTTCTTGCAAAAAGAGAAAACCATCAATGTTTTCCTAAAACAAAGATTCATCAAATTAACAAATAATCTAAGTTTGTAAAAATTGCTCTGATGCCAACTTTTGGGCTTTTATTTAAAAATAGTCCAATTATAGTCTAAAAAGTTAACGAAATTATAGAAACGAAAGCATTTTGTTTTGAATAAACTAAAACCCTTCTATCTCACTAATGATCATTTTGAAAAGTTTAGAAAGATTAAAACATAACCAAAGAAAAGAAAAAGTTTAGAACCTTTGAAGACTTTAGTTTCTTTTAGTAATTAGGAAGTTGATGAAGATGATAACAAGGTATAAAATAGAAGCTCTCTAGATATATGCACCAACAATTCTTCAACTTGAGAAGATACTAGTCTTCTTCTTGCAATAATAATACTCTTAAGCCTTTTAAGAACAAAACAAAGTTTTTGTTCTAGAAGGACAGTTCAAGTAAAGAATCAACTTGTTCCTACTTTGATCTTATCACTTTAAGAGACAAAAACGAGAGAGAATTTCATGGTTTTTAGTTAGCTAAAGAAGAGATGCATAAAAGCCTTTTAATCATCTTAATCAAAGTCCTTATCCGTTGAATATTGATGCTTTAAGACATCATGCCTCTAGCAACCAAAGGCTACAAGTGTAAGAAAATGACTTTTTGATTAAATAATTGTCAGCATGTCTTCTTTTGTTTTATGGTCTCCTTGTATATTCTTTAAAATGAAGAAACTAGTTTTTCTCTCAAAACTCTTCTAATATTTATAACTTATGAAACATATACATTCATATAATATAAGACGAAAAAATCTTTTGATAAAAAAAAATATACATGACATAATTAATCAAGTCTTATAATATATTATAATATATTTTGATACTTAACTTGAAAATTGATATTTTCATGAAATAAATAATTTACAACTGATTAGAAGATACATATTTATTTATCAAGAATCAAATACTTATGAATATTATATATACATCAACTTGTAGTTAGGATGACATTTTAGGATCATATATTATCTACCAATATCATTTTATAATGATTTTTGAGCATATAGATGTTTTACAAATACTATAATAGGCACAAATGAAACAAGAATGTTACAAAAAAAATCGATTCATTGTTTTTACGTCGGTCAACCGTCCAATGGATGATTATAAGATTAATTTACTAGATGACGAGGATGTGGCGTCGAATCGGAGAAATCATAGAAATTTTGGGATGGTGGAGGGAGGGGTACACACCATAATCTTTTGTCATAATTAATATGTCACTAACAAAATTTTTCGGTAATAAAATCAACCTAACTCTTGTACTAACTTTCAATTTAATGTGTACTAACTTAAGATTAAATAAAAATCGTCACTATCATGATTTGCTTTATACATGACTTAATATATTGATAACATATAAACGCACTTAAATTTTATACTTTAAAAGAGTGAGGCACTAATCCACCTACCACATACCATTAAACTAACACTTATGACTTACCGGTTGAGTTGGAAGTCATCTTAACTTTTTCATTTGTGTGGGTGGGTGAAGAGGGGGGGGTTGTTTCTCTATAAAATCACCTAGAGCCGGCAGCCTATAATGCAACTCCTCATCGTCCATATTTCTCTCATTGCATTAAACCCACCAAGTTAGTGGAAAAATGAGGTCAGGAACATACATTACCATATGTGCAACAGCAATTCTGGTGATGGTGTTTGCCGGATCGCAGGTGGCTACGGCGGTGACATGCATGGTGACGGAGTTGGCGCCGTGTGCTGATGCCTTCTCGTCATCCTCGCCACCTTCTCAGCAGTGTTGCACGAAGCTGAAAGAGCAGAGGCCATGCTTATGTCAGTACATGAAGAACCCTAGTCTCAAGAGTTACGTTGTTTCTCCTAACGCCCAGAAGGTTGCCACCTCTTGTGGGCTTCCCACTCCCAAGTGTTAAAACTCCTACAAATGTTCTACTCCCGATGCACTACGTCTCTCTCTCTCTCTCTCTCTCTCTCTATATATATATATATATATATATATATATATATATATATATATATATATATATATATATATATATATATATATATATATATATATATATATATATATATATATATATATATGGCTGAGTACTACTAATAATGCAGAATGTACCATCTTCGTGTTCTATATTTCAATGAAAACTAATGTTTAAAATTACGGGCTTTTAAATGTAGTTTTCCGTCCTTTGAACATCCCTTTGGTTTGCTTGTATGTCTCGAGCTTTAGCAGATTTACTGGTTTAGATATGAATAATAATGGACCCGAATATTAATCAATTAAGTGGTCAAGTGATAGATAATTAGATATCATGGTCCTAACAAGTTAATTAAAAGATATATCGGAATAACATTAATTATCATATGTTAGAATTAAATAAAATTTGTCATGATAATTCAATTGGTTTTGCTAATTACAATTTTGATCTTTTTATATCCACTAATCGAGTCTCGACAGTCAAATTTGGGGCCAAAAATAAATAAAAGTTTACATACTATAAATTTGGTTCCATGTTTTTTTGGAACGACTTTTAGTTTACTTTTAGACTATATCAACGTATTAAATGAAACCTGAGACCATTTGGCATAATGCAAGTCACATAGCAATATGACAACAAAAATGAATTTGAGAAAGCATGTACAGAAAAAAAAAAAAAAATTATATTTAAAAATGTCATTATCTCGCTCCATATCCTCCGATCCAATATCGTCATGACTTGGCTTAGTTTTCAAATAAAATCAAAATCCAAACAAAATTGTTTGATTTTTTTTTTCTTTTGGAGTTCTACCATGACCTGGTACAGTTTTACTAAAAAAAATAATTTGCTTAATAATAATAAAGACCTACCTAAAGTGGATATGTATATTAGTTTTGTTGTCAATAGAAAAATCATGAATACTTATCAATAATTTTAAAAGTGAATTACATATAAATTGATCATGTCTTTACAAAAAAATAATTTTCATAATGTGTAATATTTTGTTTCAATCCAAGTATTAGGATTTTTAATTTTTTTCCGATGGGGATCACTTAACTGTTCAACTAAGTTATTTAGGGGTGAACAATTATTTTGGGTGAACATGGTATGTTCTTGGTCGTTATTTCTTCAAATCTTATACGTTAACAATTATAGTTAAAAGAAAAAATTACCAATGTCATATCAAATATATTTGTTTAAGTAATAGTATATACGAACTTTCTTTTAGTATTCTATTATAACATTTAAATACCGACTATAACATCGGATACTTTAGTCGTTGGTAAAAAACATAGTTAAGGAACCTTTTAAATTATTAAAGAATTCTATTGATCAAACTGTGTAACTTTTTAATTAAAATTGGTATTAACTATACCAACTCAACTAAATGGCTTATACCAATGATCTTAAAGTTGGTAACGCTAAAAACAATTAACGATTAATATATATATTGTTATAAAATATGATCAAATAACAAGATAAATTATAGAATAAAAAAAGAGATGAGAGTAGAGAGAACTTTTATTCCAATACTTGTGATGAAATCATTAAGTGCCTAATACATATGGTTCACTATTTATACTATCCAAATAAGATGAAAGATGAGCTACAATATGAATGCACATTATGATGGTGTATTATTACATTCATAAAACACATTGAAATGGTTGTTACTAATGCTAAATAATGATGGAGAGTTATGGGAGAAATGAAGAATCCAATGGTCATTCACAAACTAATATTTCATAACACTCCCCCTTGAATGACGATTGTATCATGCCTCGTTAAAACCTTAATAGGTAAAACCTCATGGGAAAAACCATTTATTAAGGAAAAAGAGTACATGATTAATAATAGATATTTGGAACAATTGCCTCGTTAAAAACCTTGTTAAGAAAACCCAGTGGGAAAAACATAGCTAAGGAAAAGAGTACAATATGTTTCCAACTCCCCCTGATCATTACATCACTTGATTCCCTTAAAGCGTCGCATTCCAATATTTCGTACCATGTTTTCAAATTTGGATGTAGGGAGCGCTTTAGTGAACAAATCTGCCAAGTTGTTACTTGATTGAATTTTCTGGATGTTGATGCCACGCTCTTTTTGAAGATCATGAGTAAAAAAAAAAACTTTGGTGATATATGTTTGATTTTGTCTCATTTGATAAACCCTTCCTTAAATTTAGCTATACAAGCCGCATTATGTTTATATAGTATGGTTGGAGCGTCTCGTATTATTAGCAAGATACATCAGTGCACCAATAGCACTAATATATGGTACTTCGGGACCAAGAAGTTTTTCATGTTTTTCACAAGGCCGAAACTGGTCCTTTTTGGCATCTAAATGCCTTACTACCATCGGGGTACTCAATGGATGTGAGTTATCCATATAAAACTTTTTAAGCACCTTTTCTAGATAACTAGATTGATGTACAAAAACTCCATTTTTGTGTGCTCAATTTGAAGACCCAAACAAAATTTCGTTTTACCAAGATCTTTCATTTCAAATTTTTCTTTCAAACAAGAAGTGCATTTTCCAATTCTCCAGAAGTTCCAATTATGTTCAAATCATCTACGTAAACAGCAATTATCACAAATTCTGATCCGGATCTTTTTGAATACACATGGGCTTAATGGATCATTTTTAGAGCCCTATTTTAAAAGAAATGTACTTAAACAATTGAACCACATACGGCCAGATTGTTTCAATCCATACAAAGATTTATTTAATTTTACCGAATATACTTCACGAGAATTAGGAGTTTGTGCTTCTGGCACCTTAAACCCTTCTGGGATTTTCATATAAATATCATTCTCAAGTGAACCATATAAATAGCGGTAACTACATCCATCAGACGCATCTCCAATTTTTCATGTGTTGCCAGACTTATTAGATAACGGAATGTAATTGCATCAACCACAGGAGAGTATGTTTCTTCATAATCAATTCGGGCCTTTGGGTAAAACCTTGTGCAACAAGTCTTGCTTTATATCTCACAACTTCATTCTTCTCATTTCTTTTGCGCACAAATACCCATTTGTATCCCACTGGTCTTACTCCGTTTGGTGTACGGACTACAGGTCCAAAAACTTTTCGTTGAGTAAGAGAATTAAGCTCTTTGTTTATTGCATCTTTCCATTTTGGCCAATCTTTTCTATTTCTACATTCATCTATAGATTTAGGTTCAACATCCTCATTTTCTTCCATAATCTCGCACGCAACATGATATGAAAAATTATCGTCGACGTCTATCTTATTTCGGTTCCATCTTATTCCTGTCATGACATAATTTATTGAGATCTCTTCATTTTCATAATTTTCAGGTACCTCAATTTCTTTTGTTATGTCATTGGGCTCTTCTGGAGCTTCATTAATCTTTTCAAAAGATTCTGTTTTCTCTTTTGGACCATCAATTATATTTGCTCCCTTTCGTTTTCGAGGATTTTTATCTTTGGAACCGGTTGGTCTTCCACGCTTCAGGCGTGCCTTTGATTCATTTGTAGTTGTATTTTTTCCTTCTGGGATATCAATTCTAACTGGAGCATTTACAGCTGGTAAATGAGACTTTGTTACTCTCTTAGGGTCAGTAAATGCATCTGGCAATTGATTTGCTATATTTTGTAAATGAATTATCTTTTTCACTTCAAGTTCACATTGACTTGAACGAGGATCTAACACTGAAAGTGATAATTCATTCCAAGAGATTTTATTCTCCAGCTTCTTTATTTCTCCCCCTAATGTTGGAAAAACTGATTCATCAAAATGACAATCGTCAAATCTAGCTGTAAATAAATCTCCAGTTGATGGTTCTAAATATTTTACTATAGATGGAGATTCGTATCCAACATAAATTCCCATTCTTCTTTGAGGACCCATTTTTGTGCGGTGAGGTGGAGAAATGGGTACATAAATTGCACATCCGAACGTCCTTAGATGGGAAATATTTGGTACATGGCCGCAAACCAGTTGAATAGGGGAGAACTTATGATAACTAGTTGGCCTGATGCGTATAAGTGATGCCGCATGTAAAATTGCATGTCCCCATGTCGATGTAGGAAGTTTAGAATGCATTAGTAATGGTCTTGCAATTAATTGAAGGCGTTTGATTAACGACTCAGCTAAACCATTTTGTGTATGAACATATGCAACAGGATGTTCAATAGTTATCCCAATCGACATGCAATAGTCATTAAAAGCTTGTGATGTAAATTCTCCAGCATTGTCAAGTCGAATTTTCTTAATTGGGTAATCGGGAAAATGTGCCCTTAGGCGGATTATTTGTGCTAGTAATCTTGCGAAAGCGAGATTACGGCTAGATAATAAGCACACATGTGACCATCTAGTTGACGCGTCAATTAAGACCATAAAATATCTAAATGGTCCACATGGTGGATGAATTGGTCCACATATATCCCCTTGAATTCTTTCTAAAAAACTAGGACTTTCATACCCAACTTTATTCAATGATGGACGGGAAATTAATTTTCCTTGAGAACATGCAACACAAGACAATTCATTAGCTTGAAAAATCTTCTGGTTTTTCAAGGAATGTCCACTTGAACTTTCAATTATTTTGCGCATCATAACTGATCCGGGATGGCCCAACCGGTCATGCCAAACTTTGTAGATGTTATCATACCTTTTATTTTCAATAGCATGAGATTCAATCATTCTAATATTTGTATAATACAATCCGGAGGACAATACGGGTAATTTTTCCAAAAGACTTTTCTTACCCGATATCATTTTCGTAATATTGAGATACTCTTCATCACCATCATTGGTTGTTTCAACATGATATCCGTTGGACCGAATATCCTTAAAACTTAATAAATTTCTTGGTGATTTTGATGAAAATAATGCATCTCCAATTATAATTATTGTCCCTTGTGGTAATATGATATTCGCTCTTCCGGAGCCTTCAATCATTTTTG